AGCACTTTAGCCAAGTCTCAGTCTCAAAATTAAAAATGAAATGGGCTGGGCATGTAGCTCAGTGTGAAGCACTCCTGTGTTAAACCCCTAGAACCAAAAAAAGAAAAAAGAAAAGAAATACAGGTGCTATGCTGCAAGTTGATTGAAGGAATAATTGAACACTTTAAGTGGAAATTTTAAAGTCAGAAAGTAATCTTTGACTCAAAAATCTCTCTCTTTGTAGTTGTTGTGCTTGAATCAGGATCCAAGAATGTATTTTTATTACCTCTTATAATATATTACTTCTTGTCATAATATTTGTTTAATTTGACATACTCTGTTTTTTACCCATGACATACATTTGTTGAAGAGACCAGGTAATTTGTCCTCTAAATTTTCCCATGTATTGACTTTGGCTGATAGCTTCCTGGTTTTTCCTGTATTTCCTTGTAGTTGGAGCTATGGAGGCTTGATTAGTTTCAGGTTTGATACCACCTTCAACCCCTTCAAGGATACTTTATCATTGCTTCCTGTTAGGTCATATTAGGAGGTACTTAATGTGTATTTGATCCAATTTTAGTGTTGTTGATTTACGATTTATTCATGTCATATGCCTAATCCAACCATTATAAAGTTTCACTTACCTTAATAGTTTTAAAAATCACACATTGATGATAGTTACACTGATTCATTTCACTGGGATTAAAGTGATTTTCTAATTATTTCTTTCTGCACTTACTAAAATAAATTTTTTTGTGAGGAAATTTATTTTCGTCAACTATTTGGTTATCTGAAATACAAATTTAAGCAAAAATAGCAGAATAAATGCTGATTTTTCCTCCCTTTTCTTACCTGTTTCAGACATTGGGTTGCATGATTTGCTTGTCTTTATTGGTATTTTGCTGTATACCAAACTTTCTTTGACTATGCTATTCTCTCTTTGCTTTGAGTTCTGTAAGGTTCATTCATTTTTAGAAAAACATTCTATTGATTTTTTTCATATTCTCTGTAGTATGTGTTCTTCTCAACTCTCAAAGCTTCTCTAAGGTTTCCCGGAGCATACTGTATCCAGATGAATTTACCTACTTAATTTTTGTCTTATTTCTTAGTGTTTGATTCTGTTAAGGAAACTTTGTGTATTATAAAATCGTGAAGATTGTTTCCTGGTTTTCTTTCCAGAATCTTTTGCTCTACTTATCACATTTGGATCATTGATCTGCTAGTGACTTTTTTGGTTTGATGTGAAATAGGAGTTAAGGGTCATAGTTTTCCTTATGGGTACTTAGTTGACATAGCATTAAAGGCTCTGAACAGTACTCTAAAGATGAACCTCACATACTTCAGCATTTCCTAAATTTATGTGGAATACAGATCTTTTTTCTATAATGCTTTGGGGAACATTGATCTAAAGGATTGATTAGCTGGTGTTGTAAAGGGAATATTAACAATTATTAATTGAGTCAAATACTGTTATTATTAAAATTTCTAGAACAAATTAAAAACCTGTATAAATCAGGTGACCTTATATATGAGTCCATTTCTGGACTCCATTCTTTTTTATTGCTTTATGTTTATCATTGGATTGATATCACAATATCTCATTGTAGTTTTATAGTGGATCTTAATATAATGTCTGATATTGTAAGTACTTTAGCTTGATTACGGTTCTTCAGGATTGTCTTGCTTATCTTGCAGTCTTTTGTGTTTCCTTATACATTTTAGGATCAGTTTACACACTCAATAAGCTTGAGATTTTGATTGAGATACTTGATTTCTAATAGATTAACTAGAGTAGAATTGTCATTAACTAACTAACATTGAATCTTCCATCTGTAAATATATTATATTCTCCATTTATTTAGGCCTTTAATTTCTTGTGAAAATATTTTTTTAGTTTGGGTTTTTTTGATTGTTTTAGATGTATAGGTCATTTTTTCATTAGATTTATTTTTAAGAATTTGTTAGGAATTTGCCGTTATACAACTGTCAGAAGAAGGCAGTATATTAGATGAACAGTATTACCCTGTTGAAGTTGTTTTGATTGAATTTTTTACTATTTGAAGTTGTAATTATTGATACAGTACTCGGTTTGATCCTTCAAGATTTTGTGCAGCTATAAACTTTTTATTACTAAAGGGAACGTATTTTTAGTACTGGGGGAAAATAATAAGAGTTGCTATACCATCCCTACTTCATGAGGATTTATAAATCATAATTATTAAATTATGTTGTGTGTTTTACAGGTTGGTTTTACTGGTTGGTTTTACAGGAATTGAGGTTAATAAGCCTTTGGGTAAGGTTTGTATTTATCTGGGTATGATTGGGCTGTTTATTATTTGTTGTGGCTCTAGGCGTCCAAATCTAAAATATTTTCTGGTATCCTTGCTTTTTTTTCCCCTGTTGTCTTTTGGTTTCCTTAGAGACTCCTGCTAAAATAAGGCCTGAGCTTTGTAGATCTTTCAGCTGTGTCCCACTGTTGTTGTTTTTTTGTTTATTGTGAGGGTTTTTTTCTTTGTTTTTTTTTTGTTTGTTTGTTTGTTTGTTTTTGGTACCAGGGATTGAACTCAGGGCACTCAACCACTGAGCTATATCTTCATCCCTATTTTGTATTTTATTTAGAGACAGGGTCTCCCTGAGTTGCTTGGCACCTTGCTAAATTGCTGAGGCTGGCTTTGAATTTGCAGTCCTCCTGCCTCAGCCTACCAAGCCTCTGGGATTACTGGCGTGCCTGGCAGCTGTGTTACACTGTTGTGCAAGAGCTTGTTTGATGGTGGTAGTAAAATATGAAAAGAGTGAAAGCATTCTAAAATCCTTCCATTGATTTGCTCAGCTTATCAACAGTCTTTAGTGAACCTGCACCCATAGGCTGTGACTCTCCATAGGTGATTTAAAAGTGCTGGGGGCTAGAGTTGAGTATTTCCTGTCCTCAGATCAGTTAAGATTCCTCTGAGAATGGTGCTTTGTTTAAAAGAACCAAGTGCGCTAGGCATATTTCAAAATAGTTGCTTTCCCCTACTCTTGCTACTTTTTTTTCCCCCTCCAAATCTTTACCCTGATATTGTAATGGGGCTCCAGTAGGTACAATTCAGGAAATTGTGCCACCACCACCACTCAAGACTGGGCTTCAGGAGTTTTACTTCTCAAGCTAGTCTAAGCCCAGTTTTTGGCAATTGGTCCATTATAACTTAGGTATTCTTACCAGTACTGGCTCTTGCAGCAGGCTCCTATTCCTGGTAATCAGTGATTATTCTCTGACTCCACTTTTCAGGGCAGCACTTTACTCTCAATTTTCTGATGGATATAAAAGTTGATGATTTTCTGTTTGTTCAACTTTTTTTGTTTTTCAGTTAATTTACATAGCATTTCATTATTATGAGGGCAGAAGTGATGATTTCCAAGCTCTGTATATGTTGAACTAGAAATCAAAAATCTTAATCAGTGTTTCACTAAGTGACATCTTTGCACAAGTGCAGTATCAAATTGTCCATAGGCTATTTAAAAATTATAGTGGATAAAGCAATCAGTAATTCATTCATACATTTCACAAATTTTATATGAAATGTTAATTATGACCACCTGGAAACCCTTTAAATTTGCAGTGATGGGTTGTGTGCATGCTTAAAACATTAAATAGTAACTACTGAGAACCATCATGAATGTCCTAAAATTAGGACTATTAAACCTTTGACAAAAATTTTGATACATTAGGAAGAAAGAGCTTGAAATTGTGGCAGGGGCTTGGAACTGTGAATCAAGATTAGATTTTGACTCTAGATCTACCACTAACAAAGAATTGGAAAATTTGGATTTAGAAAGAGATCAGAGTTAGAAATAAAGATTTTTGTTATATTAATACAGACAGCCTTCTACTCTCTGATTCAACCAACCAGGAACCAAAGTATTTGAAAAAAAAAAAATTGTGTCTGTACATGCACAGAACTTTTCTTGTCATCATTCCCTAAATATTATTTACACAGTACTTACATTGTATTAGGTATTATGAGTAATCTCAGAAGGATTTAAAATATACAGGAGGATGTGCTTAGGTTACATACAAATATGCCATTTTATATGAGGGTCTTAGGCACCTGTGTATTTTGTTTTCTGCAAGATGTCTTGAAACCAGTTCCTGTGGACTTACCATCTTATTTTCTTTACTGGGAGGAGAGATCTCTTGAGCCTAGGATATCTTTACCTGCTCTGAGAGTATTCCCTAGCACTTTGCAAACTTAAGAATGGATTTAACAGCTGGACATGGTGGTACACACCTTAGTTGCAGCAATTCAGGAGGCCTAGGCAGGAAGATCATAAGTTCAAAGCCAGCCTTAGCAAATTGGCAGGACCTGTCTCAAATTTTTAAAAAAGGGTTAGGGATGTAGTTCAGTGGTTAAGCACCCCTGGGTTCAATCCCCCAAATGAGGTGTAGGATTTAAGCATATTTTTTTAGACAAACTGATGTTTAGGTGAGATATTTATATAGACCCATTTTGCCAATAAATAAATATCCATCGAGAATTTAGGATGAAAGACATATTTTTTTTTCCTTTATTATGGTGCTGGGTATTGAACCAAGAGCCTCATAGAAACTAGGCAAACATTCTACCACTGAACTGTATCCCTAACCCTGATGATAGAAATTCTTCCACTGTTCCACTACTATGCAGTGTGATCCTTAAAAGACTTCATAGTAGTTGCTCATTTTAATTTTTTTTTTTGAATGAATGAACTTTGTTCATTTCACCATAAGTACTTTTACACTCTTGAGCAGGAAAGATTCTGATAGCCATTGTTCCTCACCTTTTTTTCTATAGTATAACATTTTCATGTTACAATGTTTTTCTCTATATTCATAAGAAATGAAAAATAGAGTTAAAATGTCGATAAAAGTGTTTTATTTCACAAATAGAAAAAAGTTAAGTTTAGTAGAAGTCAAATTTTGAGATTTATATTTTAAACTATTCCTTATTTAAAAATATGTACATATTATAGATGTGTGACCATCTTATGTTCTATTATTATAGGCAATACAAGGACCTGTGGAATATGAGTGATGACAAACCCTTTCTATGCACTGCCCCTGGATGTGGCCAGGTAATAGATATTAGTTACTTTAAATAATTTTGTAGAACATTGATGGTAGAATACATTGTTATTTAAAAAGCCCTGTCTTACAGTGTTTTTTGTAAGAGTTATGGTAAAAACAGCCCAGAACACTTTGGGAAAGAATTTCTTCTTTTCATTTTTTTCTTCAATAACATATCTGAGTTTTAGAAAATACAGTCTAACGGGGGGTGTGGGGTTGGGGGAGTATTTTGTAATAGAAATGTAAAAATCTAGGATTTTTAAAGTTATAAATCTGACCAACATTCATCAAAAATCATTAGTATACTATCTAATTAGAAATCAAACATGTGTCTTATATAAAAATTGTTTTATGTGTTGAACTCTTATGAAATTAACTGATATTTACCTCTGATGTTATCATTAATGTATCCGTGTTCTTAAATTAATATCTTTAATATAGAACATGTGTGGAAGCAGTTTTAGAAAATAATAAATATTTCAGATTTTTAGTAGGCTATTAAATCATTAATTTATTATAATTATCCTATTCTTCAAATAAATATAAACACTAGGAAAGAATAAATTTGATGTATACTGAAATTACAGCATACTTAAATATGGATTTTAAGTCATAAGCATTAAAGTACTTCATTAGTTCTCATTTTCTGTAATCACTATTTTAATTGAGATAGAAGTCATGTATGATAAATTGCATAAAACTCATATTGTGGTAAATTTTAACATGTATGGACTCAAGAAAACATCACTACAAACAAGATAGCAAACATACCCTTACTCCAAAAATTTTCCTCATGCCCATTTATAATTTCTCTCACCCGTCAACCCTTGATGTACCTGCTGTCACTGTAGATGTATTCATTTTCTAAGTTTTATATAAATGGAATCATAGAGTTTGTGTATTTGTCTAGCTTCTTTTATGCCACATAACTTAAGATTTCTAGTCAATTTTAACTAGTCTGAATTAGTCTTTTTTTTTTTTTTTTTTGCTATAGCTATATCCCACAGACTGGATACTAAGTAATTTTTTAAAAAAAAGTTTATTTAACTCATGGTTCTAGAGGCCAAAACCAGTGAGAACCTTCCTGATGGGGTAATCTATAAAATCTCTAGACAGTTTTGGGCATCTCAGCAGGACTAAACAAGCTTCCTCTTGCTCTGTCTTATGAAGTCATTAATTATATAATGAGGGACCCAGCTTTATAATCCTGTTAATCCTAATTATCTCCCAAAGGCCCCACTTCCAAATACTATTAACATGACTTTAGGTTTTAAAGTTTCTAACATGTGGATTCCTAAGGACATACCCAAACTATAGCCTCTATGTTATATGATCAATAATTAATTCCTTTGCATTGAGAAATAATATTTCATCTTTCCACAATTCATTCATTTACTTGTTTATGATACACATTTGACTTATTTCCAGTGTTTAGTTATTCCAGATAGAAAGTTTGTGTGAATATTAGTATACAAGTCTTTATCTGAATATGTGCTTTTGTTTCTCTTAGATAATACCCAGAAGTGTGATGATGGGATTATGTGATGGGTTTATGTTTGGCTTTTTAGAAAGTTACCAAACTGCTTCCCAAAATGGATATCACTTTACATTTACATTGACAATTTATAAGAGATTTAATTAAACCCTATGCTTGTCAACATTTGATGTTGTCGGGTCTTTAAAATTTTAGTCATCTTCATGTGTGTATACTGGTGTCTCATTGTAGTTTTAATTTGCATTTCTTTAACTAATGAAAAAATGAGCACTTTTTCAAAATGTATTTATCAGCCATTTGTATACCTTATTTTTTGTGAGGTATCATTTCAGATTATTTTTTGTTTCTAAAACAGGTTGTCTTTTAATTACTGAGTTGTGGCATTTCTTTATATATTCTAGATACCTGCGATTTGTCAAATATTCTCTTCAAGCCTGTGATTTGCATCTTAGGTTTCATAGTAATTTTTGATGAACAGGTGTTTCTAATTTTAATGAAGTCTGATATATAATTTTTACTTTACATAAGTTTTGTGTACTCTGTAACTTGCCTAAGAAACTTCTGCCTACCCTTAGGTCACAAAGATATTTGTCCTTGCTTTCCTTTAAAAGCTTTTTTTTTAAGCTTAGTCTTCTGATTTCATCTTGAACTAATTTTCATATACAGTGTGAGGTATAGATTGAAGTTAATCTATCCGGATATAGTTTCTCAGACAGTCATCACTTGTTGAAAAGATGTTTCTTTCTCCATTAAATTGCTTTGATTCCTGTATAGAAAACCAAATGATTATATAAGATGAGGTTGTTTCTGGGCTTTTATATTTTTGTTTCGTTCATCAGTCTCAGCTTTTATGCCAGTTCCACATTTTCTAGCTTTGCAGTTTGTGTTCCAGTCAGATAGGGTAAGTTTTTCAATTTAGTTCTCCCTTTTAAAGATTGTTTTGGTTAGTCTTTTAATTTTTAGTAATTCTGGTGAAGATGTTAGTGGTGTCTTGTGATTTCAATTACCTGGTATCGATATTGAGCGGGATAAAGACAGGAGTTAACACAGTTGATGCTGTTTTAAATAGATTGGTCAGGAAATGTGTTTTAACAAAGAAATGAAGAAAATGTGCATATATTTCTTTTGCATTGGAGCATATAATGGTCAATGGGAGGCAGGGTTAGAGGTTAATCAGAATGGTAGGAAAAAGGAGAAATATCCTTTAGAATTTTGCATACTATTTGGGGTTTATGCACAGAACGGTAAGAAACTATTCCTGAAATAAGAGTGAAAGTTAGGGAGATTAGAGGCTAACAGCAATTCAGATGAGAGATGGACTAGGTGGCTTTGACTAAGTAGTAATGGTGGACATAGAAATAGACTAACTTGACATCTGTTTTGAAGTTATATTTGATATGCATTTTCCTATAAAGTTAAGAGAGCTTTAAAAAGTTTAACAAAATACCTGACATAATCAACTTATAAGAAGAAAATATTCATTTTGGCTCACAGTTTTGGAGGTTGCTGTCCATGATTGGTTAGTCCTGTTACTTTGGGCCTGTGACAAGGCAGAACATACATCATGGCAGGAGCAAGAAACAGAACCAACCACTTATCATAAGCAGAGTGCCAAGAAGAAGAGGAAGGGGCCAGAGTCCCAAAGTCTCTTTCAGGGGCACTCCGCCAGTGACCTAAGAACCTCCCATAAGGCCCCAACTCTCAGTAGTTCTACCTTTCCCAATAATGCCCACTTGGGAACCAGGTCTACAGCAACAGCTAATGAAATATGTTTCCAGGACAATCTTTGGGCATCAGCCAGTTTGGTCATGTTCTAGCAGTTGTTCTTGAAAATACAGACTCAGACAAGCCTTACCTAATTCTTTGTCCTTATTCTCTTCTGCTTAAAATAGTTGGAATGTTTCTGTTATCTTGTGATTGACTCTGTTTTAGTCAGCTTTTATTGCGGCTGTGACTAAAAACTCTGTCAAGAACAATTTTGGAGGAGGAAAAGTTTATTTGGGGGCTTACAGTTTCAAAGTTCTCAATCCATAGACAGCTGGCTCCATTTCTCAGGGCTCAAGGTGAGGCTGAACATCTTGGTGGAAGAGTGTAGTGGAGGGAAGCAGCTTACATGATGATCAGAAAGCAGAGACTCTTTGACAAATACTACAAAATATGTACCCCAAAGGTCTGTCCCCAATGACTCACCTCCTTCAGCTTCACCTGTCTCATTTACCACTGAGTTAATCCCATGAGGGCATTAATTCACTAATTGAATTAAGGCTCTCATGACTTGGTCATTTCTTTAAGCCTTCTTGCATTGTCTTGCACATGAGTTTTTGGGGAACACCTCACATCTAAACATAACAGACTTCTTACTAATATACATGCCTTTGTTTATAAAAAGCATTGTTTAAATTTATTTAAACAGAAGAAAAAGAAACTGATGCCAGATGTTAGAATATATGTGTATATATGCATCGTAAGAGTTTTTATTTCCTAAAAGACCTCTAACATTAAATTTATGGCATATGAAAAACATTAACAAGTTGATATTTGACTCTCCACTTCCCTTTTCCATCTCCTGATATCTGATAATTATTGTACTATTCTTACATTGTCAAGGTTTATAAAACTTAAATTTTGTCTTATAACTCTTAAAATGGCATAGAGAATAAGGGTTGAAAACAAAGCATTTGGGCACTCGAGTGTTTAAAAGTCAAAATAGGAGGAGAATATAACTAAGACACAGTAGCCAGTGAGGAAGGTTGAGTCCTGGAAGTCAAGTAAGAAATGTTTTGAAGTTGTTGATGATGGGGGGGATATAGCCATATAGCATCAGATGAGAATTTAGTATTTATTTGATTTAGAAATTCTTAGGGCTACACTTGTAGCTTAATGGTAGAACATTTGCCTAATGTGTGCAAAGTCCTAACTTTGATCCCCAGCATTGCAAAAAGGTAAAATAAAATAAAATTTTAAAAAGTGAAGATAATTAGAGACCTTGGTGAGAGTAGCTTCAGTGAAGCAGCAGGAACACCTGTGTTGATCAGAGTATTTAGAGAATGGGGGAAAAAAAGAGAATGGAGGGACTAGGGTTGTGGCTCAGTGGTAGAGCACTTACCTCTCACATGTGGGACCCTGGGTTTGATCCTCAGCACCACATAAAAATAAATAAACAAAATAAAGATATTGTGCCCATGTATAACTAAAGAGAGAGAGAGAGAGAGAATGGAGGCATTGTAAGAGCTCTTTCTTGGAGTGTAACCTAAAGGGGAAAGTATGATATATAGCTGGAGAAGGATGTAGAATTGAAGACGAATTTCATTTGTTTGTTTTGTATTTTAAAGTAGGAATGTGGGCTAGGCTTGTAGCTCAGTGGTAGAGCACTTGCCTAGCATGTGCGAGGCCTTGGGTTCAATCCTCAGTACCACATAAAAATAAGTAAATAAAATAAAGGTATTGTGTCCAACTACAACTAAAAATAAAAAAGTAGGAATGTAACAGCGTATTTGTTACTGCACAGTTAGG